ATCCAGTCAGGGCGGGTGCACTTGACATCCAACAGACTGCCGCCACTAGCCCGCCGGCCCTGTAATGCAATAGGCTGGGAACTGGGCCATGTCTGGTACGTGCAAACTTAGTGGACCGACGGTCAGCGCTCAGAAACATACTGGGCATCGTCAGCTAGATGGGTGACTGTTTTACCCGAAATGAAAGCCAAGGGTATGCTGCTCGAGCAATTTGGGCAACAGCGTAACGAGTCATTTTTTTAGAGCATGCGATTCATTGATGATGAACGTTCCATCTAGATATACCTTGATATACCTTGGCTTAGCATGTGAGTTCATTTCGCCGATCGTAAGCTATCTAACATATGTACAGTAATTAGTAAGACGTTCGATAATCAGCCGCCGTAAGTGCTGAATTTACAAGTAGTACAAATCCATCCACCCTGCTCTTCTTACAAGAGTTTTATAATGGCTAATTTTCAGAACAGTCCTATTGTCGATTCAATTCATCTCATCTGGAGGTGACTCCTGGGAGAGTTTGGCGACGAGCGGCCACTGTCCACCGTCTCTTTTAATTAGGACTTGTCGCTCGGCTGGCGGCCAGTTGTCGGTCTGCTCAAGTGCGCTCTCCTGTAGACGATGGCTGATTAATTGGATCAGTCGGCGGCTGTTTCGCCGGATGCCATTATTCCTCCTGGTTTGGTGCCGGTAATTAGTGTGCCAGACCGTCTGATTGGTCTATGCTCTCTGTGACCGCCCCACGCTGTCCGACCGCAAAGGTTGGTGACCGGCGACCCCAGCTACCGCGGAGTCAGCGCGGTCACTGCGGAGAACAGGGGAGGGGAGGGGAGGCAGATGCTTGTGCCAGAGACTGAGCGAGCGGTGAGGGAGGGGATGTGGGTCAAAGGAAAGAGGATGTTCCCTCATTAATGAAGCTAGCGACGAAGGATGGGATGTTGGTTGCTGTGCGGCCAATGTAAATCGGACGTAGTAGAAAAGAAACTGATTATTTTTGCAATTTGACGCGGTGGTCGTACAGCTTTTCTGTAAAATTATATTTGCAGTATCTCTTTTGCTCCGAAGTAGCTATGTCGTTTTCCTGTGCAACTGATGTCAAATGTAGCTAACTTTTAGTCTTTCAAACTCCCCTTCGCCCACGCTCCGTTTGTTCAGCGGCCTTTCTTTGTTGCATATTCATACAAAAGCCATCTCCATCTGCTCGGCCCTGAAGCGCCGCGCTATCTCGGCAGACCCCTGACTCGGACAGGCCGCCCGGTGCACCCGCTCCTCCCATCAGAACGGGAACGTTTCCATCCGAGCGGCGGCCAATCGGGTTTTCCACCTGACCGGGCCCGATAGGCGGCTGCCACCTAGAGCGGCGGCCCTCACATTTCACATGCATTTATACGGGCCGTCTGGTCTGCTCTGTGGTGCTGAGGTTCCCGGAGTGGTCGCGGTCAGGCCGACTCTGCTGGTAGGCTGGTGAGGGGCGGTAAATTTCGCTCCCGGCTGGCGCGGGTGGCTCAGACCGTCACCCCGATCATACGGACCGCTGCGTGAGGTTGGGTCAAGGACCGAGCGACAATGGGTCACTGCAGGTTACAGCGAAAAGCAGAGTTGGATAGGAGCATGTGTTGTTTCTTGAGGGGGAGGTTTGTATGAGGGTCTGCTGGAATGATGCTGTTGAAGTAATGAGATATTGGTTCAATAAAATCCGCAAAACATAGTCGATATTTATCTCTGAAGGAATTGCATAAGCACATTGTCTTGGCTGAGTGATTTTATTGTAATAGCCGAACTATCATTAGTCAACACATTATATAAAAAACAGAAGCTTTTAATAAGTCATAGTTCATACATAATATAACTTCTTGACAGGCTTCAATGAAGACAACGGCTTCCTCAGAAATTCAAAACGCCATCGCCAGTCCACGTTTGGGAGACCTTTCGGTCGGTTGGTCGGTCGGTCGGTGGTCGGCGGCGCGCCCTGCCACCAATATAAATCACCCTTCCTGCGGGAGACAATTACAGTGCGCGTCTCGCCGCGATGGCCGAAAAAAGCGGCCGACCGCCGAGCGGGCACGACCGGCGAGATTGAGCAGAGTCGCCGCGCCGACCCTGATTGGAATTTAAAGGCGATTTCGGTCGTGAATTTCCGCAGCGACCACTGAAGCGCGCACACAAGATGCGGGCGCTTTCCGGTCAGTGGGGCTAAACGATGTTAGTGCTGTAAACAATAATATGAAACGAGATTGAATGAATTTATTTTCAAAACGCTGTTGTTTTCATTTTTATTGCTGAGTATAATGCAATTTAAGTATGAAAGAATAACATGGCTCTAAGATGTGAATAAAGCTAGGTTTTAGTTGTTCGTGAAAACACCAGATGTTGTGTTGTCTTGTGGCATTTGTTGCTGCATTGCGTCCCGTCCAAGGAGCGAGGTGGCCTGTCTCCAAGTGAAGCCATGTGGACCTGCCGCCTACAGCGGTCGCCTCTCGTGGCGCTGCAGGAGCGGCTGAATTATCATCGCCCCGGCGACCGCCGCCGTCCTCTGATGTTATTAGCATGTCTCTACGGACTGCAGCGCGGCAGGACTGAATTATTTATCGGTGCCCCTATTCTAGTGCATAATTGACCTGTCACTTCCGAGGTCTGCCGCGCGCCGCGAGCCTCTCCAGCAGCTCCGCCGTCTGCGGACCGCTCAAATCAACCGACCAAAGTCCCTCGCATCCGATGGGAATTATGGAAATAACCCGGCATAAAAAGGATATTTGAGGGCGGAATTATGCCACGCAGGATGGTATGTTTGGCGAAAATTTGAGCCCCGGTGTGAATGCTGCCGCAGGTTTTGCATACAAATGGGAGTTTTGGCGGACCGGACGTCGACGAACTGAATTCATGCCCGATCGAAAGGGCTCCAAATGGGTAGGGCCGCGAGTAGGTACTAACTGAGACCTGAGAGCCAGCCTGATTCGTTCATAAATGGCAATCTTGATTCAATTTACATGGACTACGGTCTTACTTATGAGCCATTTAATTTAGCGCTTAATTGGGAAGGGAATGCCATTCAGCTCATTAACATTCATAATTCTGACATAGGCAGTATTGCGAGGATATTTATAGTCTCCCGAATTAGCATGATTTGTATGATAGCTGTTTGATAAATCGACATCGACACTCCCACGTTTCTGGGCTGATACTTCAAGCTTTGTAAATACCCAACAGAAATAGACTTAATTCCAGTCCACACTATTTATAAATGGACTTCAATTATAGTTGGTTATGCAATGGTACGCGCCAACGGTCCGAAGCTTCTTTTGTTCAATTGAAAATGTGATGACTGAATAAGCAATATTTTTATCTATCCTTCTTTTCAACTGCAACATCGGTTGTTGACTTGTTTTAGTTTTCTACCACCCAAATGTAATTTTATGACCACATTTCCACACAGTCTGCTACAGGCTGATATAGGTGGATGCAGGGGCGGACGAGGGTGGGTGGAGGGGTCGTGCGGGGCGGGGGCGGGGGCGGGCCGAGCTGTCGGCCGCCCCGGTCGGCCTCCGGTGTCTCTGCCGAGCCGTCAGGGTGAGCCCCGGATTACAGGGTGTCAGCGGAGTCAGGTGGGGCAGGTCAGACGCTGCCGCCGGCGCTACCCGACGCTCCACGCCGGAGGAGTCGCGTGGCCCCAGGTCGGGCCGGCGAGGCTCGCTCGATACGCACCGGGCTGGCCGGGGACAGAGACGGATGGTGGCGCACCGGGACGCGATGGCCGGAAAGGCACAAACGGCGCGCGTGCGACACACGCAGCAGCGGCGACCGGCGAGGGTGGACGAGACTGGATGGCACGCCGGACAGAGGAGAACGGGATGCAATGTGCAGTGAAAGTATGAACAACAACAAAGTCTTCTGAGTGCTTAAGCAGTTATTGTTGGTCTTTGGATGAAGTTTGCAACCATTTAAGCGTGTTTAATGGTCTTAAGTTTTTACGTTGTAGTAATGTGCCCGTTATTTAACCTGGTAATATGTTCATTATAATGAGGAGCAATATGCTTTTAAAACGGGATTACATGGTGTTCTTTCATTAATTATGTAAGCAATCGTCTCGCTCGGTTCATCCAAGACAGCCCTTAATTAGCATCCTCAGTGCATCGAATTAGTTCAAGCTCTCAACATCAGAGAATGTCGCCCTCTTCAGTAAAGTATTCCTCTCAAGTAAAATGTTTGATGTTGGGTCAACAGAGCAAAGCGTTGAACGATTTCAAGATCTCCAAAAGAGACTCGCTTAAAATTTCTTTAGAAATCAAACATCTCAAGCCTGTTCATATTTATGAAAAACGTCAGGTCCTTCAAATGTTAATTAATGGTCTTCAAAAACTTTATAACCTATGATGTTTTTCATACTCGCACCCACTTATAACACTGAAACACAAAAGTTGTTCGTGTTGTATGGTATAACACGCAGTGTTACCGACCTCATTTGAAGTTGCCCTCCGAATTCAACGAATGGTGCCGCATTTAATTTTAATACGGTCTCGGACTCCTCTATTTCTCCCTGGGAAATGTAAATCCAGAGGCCTTGTCGATGGCTTATGCAGTAGTTTGATGAGTTAAACATCACTTCAATGGTGTTCCGAAAATTTGCACGGCTGGGAGCACGAGAATAAGCATCAGCTGCTACGGCGTAAACTTTGCGTTTAAGCGGATGTGGAGAAACACCTTTTCAACTGGTAACAAATTTTTCAACGAGTTTTACCTACCAACCTACCAAGTACCAAGTTATCAACCTAAACTTTCCCTTCATTTTTTTTGTGGTACTGTTGTAACCGTTGCCAGGATGCCTCCCAGTTAAGAAACGGTGCAAGAGCAATATTTGTTTTATATGTAAGCTTCTTCGCCGCTGTCTTTCACCACGACTTGATCAGAGGAATGTTTACTGTGTAGGTGTTAGTGGTGCCGCTTTGGCGACATACTCATTTACTAACGTCTTGGAATGTAACCCTCAAACTCCTTTGTCTGCACAGGTCCGGATGGCGCGGGTCCGCCGGCCTCCATCGTCCTCCAGCCGGCCAAGTCGGGTGACCTGACCTCCCGCGACCTGGCCGGCTACCCGGGCTCGTTCGGCGGCGGTCGGTCAGGCTCCACCTTCTCCAGTGAGCTGGCTGGTCGAGACCGCGCCGACCAACTCCACTATGCCTCCAAGCCGGTCTCGTCGGGCATCTACCAGTCGCTGGGCCGACGGGGGAGGCGCGGCCACAAACACGGCTCGCTCAGCTCGTCCGATAACAACTCGGACACGACCACGTACGCCGAGAGCGAGATGCGCTGCAAGATGGAGCAGCTGCAGAGCGGTGAGTTCCGCCGCACGGCTGCGCTGGAAGTGGGTCACCCGGCAAAGCGGCGAGGGATGTTGAAAGCTTTCCTGATAAAGCGTTGAAGAATAATGCGCAAGTCGCGTTTCAACAGTCGTTGAGCTTGGTGTTAATAGTTTTCGAATATCTTCTTTGGTTAATTTTTCATCTCTGAGAGCGATTAAAGCTAAAAGATTTTTATGCGATGGAAAACCGTCAAGGTAAACAGCTACTTATCCGTTACTTCTGACGGTAATTTGACGCGGTAAAATGGGACAGTTAAGATGACTGCAAAGGATGATATTTTATTAAGGTTTGAATGATTTTTCTGTTAGTATCAATGTCATGAATAATTTAATATTCACGATCCAGCAGATGATCGGTCATAAAATTAGATGAATACAGCGTTCGGGTATTAGATGTAAGGAATCTTGGCAGCAAGGAAAAGTCATTGGCAGCGCTGAAAGTGGGAGAATATGCTGTGAAAGACAGCGTTTCCTTCCCGGTCCGGTCTTATCAACCATTGTGCTGATAGCAATCTATGGGCTACGGCATGCTACGGGTAACGATATCGTCAAATTACGCCTTGCAATAGGATCTCATCCTCAGGGGCTCCATTTCGGTATCTGAAATTGGCTGTGCCGCTCCTACAAAGCTATCTGTTTGAATCTGGAAGTCCGGAAGGAGCCATTGTTGGCGGTGAGTTTAAACTGGTCCGTATTTTGGCTCATTTGTTTCTGGTGACTGGGAGGCTGTTATCGTCCGTCTTCCTGGCGGGCGGAGCGCCCACGGGGCGGCGAGGGCGGACTGCCGAACACTCTCTGCCTCTGGCCGGGGCTGCGTCTTGGTTACGGCGCTCCCCTCCTCCGACCATCCATCGAGCTCTCGGTGCTGATGGCTGCGGCCCGGCGGCGTGCCGAGAACATTTGTCTGTCGGTGGCCGGTCTCGACCGGCGCGCTGTCGCCGACACCCCCGGCGGACTGACCCTCTCCCCTTCAGCCACTCACTCGTCACCCGAGTCTGCCGCTGCCGAAATGTACTCGGCCGGAGCAGCATCCCAAATTGAGTTAGAGAAACCCCCGGGAAATAAATCGCTGTGAATTCGGTCTGACGCAGCCTTTTGTCCGCGCCCCGGGTGGCTATTATCGACCGCTGAAATTACTGTTTTGTCACACGGAAATTTTCGCTTCTTTGGCCCGCGGTCGGGAAAAGGGTAGCATTTTATTCTGTCGCAGAATAACGGGGTTAGAAGGGTGTGAAAAATGTACTCACACGTATGGAAAGTATGCGAGGGATAATAGGTTTTCGAAGACCATTTGAATATTAAGCAGGGCAAATGCAATCCCATTTCACATCTTTTATTGTAACAAAGTTTGATCGGTGACAAAAGGAGCTTAATGAATACCACCGGCAAAGTGATATTGAATGATAAATATATTTAATACGAAATATATGGTAAACCATACATGGTCTAAAATTATCAGCATTACGCTGGCAATCGTTGGCGTTAATGCCACTGCACTGGTAAAAGGACCTCTTTAATTCCCTCATAAGATGCGCACGCAACACCTCACATCTGGCATTGTGTTTAAAGTGAAACAACTTTTGATAAGCTCCGTATTTACACCGATTCTAAATTCATCAGAAGTTTCGCTTGACGGATCCCAGACTAAGGAGTTTGCTGTGCGTTGGCACCAAACCTACTTAAACATTGACACGGAACAGGACTTCCTCACAAGAGACGCTCCATTTATTTCTGAATTTTGCATGCAATCTCCTGATTGTCGAGCTGGTAGCATCAAAGCCACAGTATCAAATGGTTCGCGGCATAATAGCGAGCATGATTTATTAACAAAGTTGGGACGGCAGCAGCGGTCGTGGATGATGATGACACCCCGCTGCTCGTCTCGGCTATCTCCCAGCGGGGGGGGAGGGGAGAGCCGAGAGGTCGTCAGCCAGCGCGGAACCTCGCCCCTGTCGGCCGCGCCGCGCCGGCTGCCCGCAGACCCGGCGGCGCTGCAGAAATATGTGGTGTAACGGCGGACCGCAGTGATGCCAGCTCACTCGGAAAACAGCCGGCGGCAGCGTGCGTGCCCGTAAAAGTCGCCGCATTAATTGCAGGACGTCGTCGGCAGCGGAAATCGCCTGATTAGTTTGGTGGAAATGATGGCGAGCCTCGCCCGGCGAAGGGAGGCGGCGGCGGTACGGCGGGCGGGCCGAGTCGGCTAGGAACGACATTAGGCTAATAATAAAGCTGGCGAATGGCGAAGTTTGTCAAGATTTCGTCTCACGGCGTGCTGCGGATTTCAGTCAGCTACGAAATCCCTCGATCATTCAGTCCGACAACGTTCCGACGGCTTCGTTGCGAGGCAGTGAACACGTGACGAGACAGACCATAAATGATGTTGGATAACGAACGTCATGATGAATAAATGCTAAACGACGCACGCATGACCCGGTGTCTATGCTCTCCGTCTGCCAGGTCTGCACACTCCGCCGGAGCCGGCGCCGCCCGAGGTCCCGTCTCGCGGCCCCTCCTCTCACCAGGCGGTGCGCTCTCTACAGCGACTGCAGGCGGGCTACCCTTCCGACGGCGACGTCAACCTGCCCAGTCCGTCAGGTCAGCAGGGATTGGGTTTAAAAGCCTTGTATGTATATGTCCGAGGCTGAATGAAGCAGCTGCAGATCAAAAAGATCTGGCTCATGTGGGTCTAGGCGCTTGTCCCCATGATCCGTCTTTCTGCAGCAGGTCATGTTTGGCCCAAAGGACAATATGTATATTTCCTAATCCGATAAGAGTAACAAACATGATAAGGATGAACGCAAGCTGGACTATGCGGTAAAATAATACACATGTCCGTTTCTACGTCTTCCGACGCTCATATTTACCGCTTCTTTGTTGAACATGCACCACCTGACGTGTGTTTTGTATTTTCCTTTCAGAGTACCGGCTTCCCGGCAGTCCGAGGTCCCACATGGGCCCCTCTCCTCTGCGGGGGTACAATCCGAGCGAACCGGACACCTACGCCAGCCTAAACGGGGCGCAGACCAGGTCAGTCCGCCCATACACACCTACACGTATGTCTGCATCGGTTCCAACTGTCCCGAGTGGTGTTATAAACGACGCCGACGATACTTATATTGGGTAGCTATACGTGGAACTAAATATACTGTTTCGCTATTCCGTTCGAACTTCCTATCGGCAATGGCGCATAAATTCTCGACGCTGAAATGCGGAACTGGTGCTGAAAGTGATGAGCTGCCAAATATTGACTCATCACTCCGGCTGGCAATTGAAAACCCCGCTTCGAATATCAGCTGGCCGGTTATTTTCCAAAAAGAATGAGTCCAATTATGAATGGTTGGGCGTGTTGGCGCGGCAGTTGGCACCCCGTTACGGAGTGTTTGCGCCGGTCGGCGGCGGTGTATGAGGGTCGCCGAGGGCCCCGCACGGCCCGCCGCCGTGTAAAGCGGCCTGATTTCCCACGGGGGTCGTCACTTACTGTTTGTATGAATTATTGGCTCCGAGGGAGGAGACTCTGTCGGTATCAACCCGGCGCTATCGCGCACGATAGCCCCCTGAAGGTGCACAGGCTCCCTCGGCTGCAGCACTCATCGTATGGCCGGTAGGTATACTTTTTATTGAGCGAGCTGGACGGAATTGACGAAGTCGTTTGGAGGAATGCTAGGGTCTTGATTGGTGTAATTTGAGGAGGCCGCAGAAACGGTATATCATTCATGAGCTATTTGTGCCGGTTAAGTGGGCGGTAACTGTCTGGAATATTGCAATAGCACTCCACTTCCTGAAATGAAAGACTTCAACCAAGAGGTCTCACATCAAAGTCGAATAGCGCCCCACTGGGAATACGCCATTGAGGTAGCAGCGCACCGAAACTCCATTTCAATGGCGCCGCTAGTAAAGAAACCCTTTGTCATTTGCGGTAATACGAGTAGAACGCACGTCGTGCTGCCAGTTGTAACATACTAGAGTGATATCACTTGACTTTTTGGGCTGTACGCTTATCTTGACATGGTTCTTCCTTTGACCACTTTCTGTATAAAATTCATTAATTTTGTGCACAGTGACCTAATCACAGCTTAACCATCTCTCATTTACAAGCATTCTACCAGCAATGTGTCCCAGAGCAATTCATATCAAATTTATCATTTTTTTCAGCCTTTATGTCTCTTGGCTCGCCTCCAGTCTCCACGGCTGAATACTGGCCAAAGCTCAGGCAGCCAGTTTGAATATTTGCCCTCTCCGCCCATGGGCCCTGTGCTGGTGATTGCCCCATCATCAGCAGGGCAGTTCATTAGTGCCCTCCAGCCGCTCTGGGCGCCGCCGGCGGCACTGGACGGCCCGAACTTGGGCCGCCAGCCGCGCCTGAAATTAGTCACCGGCCAGCACTGGCACCATCAATCACAATTCCGGGCCGCACTTCATTGCGCTGTGAGATGGCCCGACTTAGGACGGCCTGGGAGGACCGGGGGGGGTGACGGAGGGGGGGAGTGTCATCAGGCACTGTGTCGGCGCCGTCAGCTGTCCTCCGCCATTCGCTGATGGAGGACAGAAACGGCAACTTCTCCTGCGGGCTCAATTTTCATCGCTGGAGGAGCTTTTAAAAGTGCGTTGCTGTCACGCGATTCCGTTAGGGGTTCCGCTGTAGGGGATTCCATTGCAGAGACTGCGAAATATAAAAATAACTAGAGCTTGTGACCTGGCATGCGCGGCATATCGGTTTTATAGGGCGTTGTTACAACTTACAATGCTCCCCATGAAGGGCACTGGCCGTTTTTCACCTACTATTGAGTCTTGGCGAGAAAAACTTGCGCCAATCGCCATTATCACATTCCCCTCTTATTTGTTATCGGTATTTGATATCCGCTTTAAGACCATTTTCTCTTTTCTTCTCGTCTTTTCATCTTGTTTCTCATTTCACCTTCCTTTCTTTCCCATTCAGAATCCTGCAATTCGTTTTTCATCTCGCGCTTGGCTGCAGCGTCTGGCGTCTGCCGAGTGCCGAGTGCCGAGTGCCGAGTGCCGAGTGCCGAGTGCCGAGTGCGCTCACCAGCCGGCGCGGCGGCGCGGGGACAAGTGGCCGAAATGAGCCGCGCTTGGCCCATCGCCAGCGCGCCAAACTCGATCACCGCAGCCATTCATGTCAATTAGCGCGCGCTGCTCGCGCTTTTTCGGAAACGCAAACAGAGTTGTATACGGCGCCGAGTACCGGTGATTACGGGCGTTCGCTGCGGCGCCGCTCTCTCAGCACGGCCTGGCTGCGGCCGTCGGCGCGGTAAACGGTAGCAGCTGCGGCTCCGGCTTCATTCGCAGTATGATGGACGCGGCTGCTGCTGCTGCTGCCCGGCCTTCTGCAGGACGCTGAACCGACCTAATCTCACGCCGTGCGACCTGCAACAATTTCTTATCGTAACGTATCGGCCGTCGTAAACATGTTATCCGGTTATTGTGGATTGAAAAATGATCCTGTTTATTTTTACACTCGGGACCAAATGTGTTCGCAGTCAACTGCTTCTTTCATCAAAGTGCAGCAGCGAGGAGATTCCGCATTCATCCGCAGTATTTTCACTAGCTTGTGAACAATCCTAATGTCAACAATGCCAAAATGATCATTGCATAATTTATGCGAAGCTGCAAAATGCAACTAGTCATATCAACTAATCACCGGTTGCGCCTGACTTCAGGCAGCGCCACAGCCAATCTGGCTCACATTTGATCGCCGTTTCTCGGGCAAGGAGGCAGAACATCATCTTGTGATGAGTGAGTGGCGCGGCGAGCCACTTCAGTGACTTGTCATCCGGCTGTCAAACCCACCGGCGTCACCGGGAGACGTTTTGAAGCCGCACGTCAACTGGCTGTCAGCGGCCGTCACGTCATTCAGCTCAGCCGGGTTCCGGCGTTACGCTGTGTGCAAACAACATCTATGCTCTTCCCTGTGACGCAGCTGCTGGATGTTCAGTGGATTTACTGAATAGGTGCGTCTTTTCTTTGGAAAAGGCGGCAACAAAATTTATCTGCGAAGGACACTGACAATGTTTTCCGCAGTTATTGCTTTCTTTTCAAGGCGGGTCTTGTTACTTTCAACTGCTGGAGGGCCAAAATTCAGCATCACTCTTCGCAGCTTTGATCTAGCGTCACTGAGCTGTGACCTTTAGGACTTCACCACTGGCCCATCTGACTCCAAAACCACCCCCCACCTAACCCAATTTTCTGATTCTTTCCCTCAGACTCGTGATGGACGGCGGTCAGAAGGGCGGCTCCTCCGAGCCAGTGATGCCGCTGGTGATGCCCGTCTACCCGGCGCAGCGCACCAACCTGTGTCACCACGTGGCGCCGCCGGCCTACTCACCCGAGAGGAACCAGCTGAAGGACGAGTGCCGCTACCGGTGCAGCTGGCGGCTGGCCACCGCCTGCCTGGCCGTGCTCTCGGTCCTGCTGCTCGCGCTCATGGCATACTTTGCAGGTGAGGAGGGCTGTTGAAAGTTATACTCGTACTTCGGATTGGCAGAGACAAAAACTACTGTTTCTTACTGACGTAGAGTAGTGCATGGCAGAGACTTACATATTGGCGCGTTGAATCAAGTGGTTTGGCTGCTACAAAAGAAGATCTTATGTAAACCCTTCCCTGAGGTTACGGTGATGGACTCGTTGAAAGGATCTATTCAAGGCAGCGTTCATGTGAGATCAAACATGAAAGCGCGACATAGTCGATTTCTAGTAGGCAGTGGTTTTATTTTATTACCTCTAAACTTCTAAAATATCCACTGAACCAAATAGTTACCTTCATTTTAAGAAATTGATATGTGTGGATGTTTGACAGTATTGATTTCAAACATTATTTGCCATTGTATCCCATTGATAGGCTAGGCTGAAAAATGAAATACCCCACCACCTAACGTAATCGCAAAGTGGACTGCATGTGCATATACAGCCCACTTTTTGCTGTCACTCGCTAGTGTACTTACGTAGCTGCTAATATTTGCCGCCAAATCGAGCACGTGCCGTCGTAACGACATTGGTGGCGAGCGTGTCCATAAGTAAGGTCTCATCGTCGAAGAGTCATTACCGGTACCTAATGCATCTGGCCGGGTGTTGTTCGGCCGATGTTCGACACTTCAGTGTTGCGTGCGTCGGGCGTCAACATCATCGGGCGTCACAATCAACAGAATTGTGTTGCGCTGCTGGAGAGCTATTACATACACTTTTTGTGTTATTTGATGTTATTGCGCTATAGGTACATGGTCACAAAGAAGTTATGGTCGTAATAATAAACAGTTGTTTTGTGATAATTACATAGGAAACACTGCACGAAAGCAAACTGGGTATGTTTAAAAGTAAATAATGGCTTATGTAGTTACGTGCGCATTATGCACGCTATGATTTATTACACATTAGATGAAACTGTAGTGCAACAAATTGGCCACATCAACATCATGTCATGACAAACTACGACTAATAACCTTTGCACATGATTATGGTCAGCATGCGCGCTGCAGCACTGACGTTTCCTCGGCAATTGCCATTGAGTTTCTTCTACTGCATGTAAAGCATCTTACTTAATTGTAAGCTACCTAATGTTGAAAGTTACGGTAATCGATTCTTTTGACTTCTGTTTGCCAGCACTCAGAAGCGTGGAACATTGCATTTTATTCCGATTTGGTGGGCAGCGTCCATTTGTCAATGCTGATTTTTATCGATTCCCAAAACAGAGCGTCAACCATATGGAGGCTCAATTTAGACGATAAATTACTCTGTAATTCATTTTAGAACTACTTAAGCCATTCTAACTGCATAGCTAGTCTAACTAGTGAGTTCCTGATGTCCGCATTTAGGCGCAAATCATGTTCTCAATCCGAGTGCATACACACAGACCACTCTATCCTGTCTCAGCCTCGTAATGTTCAATCCGGACGTCTCAATTCAGACTCAGTCAGCTGGAGCACTGGGGTGGTATGGGGGGGGGGGGGGGGAACACCGACTAACGAGACCCTCCGCTCCCTCGGGTTCACTTCAACCTTATCAATCTCGAACGGGGGAGGGCCGGGAGAGCCGGGCCGAGTGGTGTTCATAAACTGTGCGTACACACTCGGTTTACGACTCGCCCGCTCCCGGTGAGCCGGTAATGAGGCCCGCGTCAGACGCACTCGGCCGAGTCGCGACACGACGCCGTCACAGACACTTCTCGGACGAAAGCAATTTATGTTCTAGGAGGTGCTTCAAACGAAACTCGCCCGCCCTGAGAAAACGCGACAGCGTCATTCTCGAACTTAGCTAATTATTGCTGCTGTAATCTCGGCTGAACAGTGGGCCCCTATTACCGTTTAATTTGGTAGCGGGCTGGCGACAGGACGCCAGTGAACAGCGGGAGGGGTGGAGGACTCTTCAGGCTCCACTGCGCGCATCTTCAAACACGGCCGGCGTGAGCTATTGAACAGACTGCCGGCCTGTAAACAACTCACTCGGCTGGCGGCCGACCCTCCGCCGGCGAGCTATATCAGTATTAATAGGAGGGCACTGCGCCGGACGAGCTGAATTAGTGCTCCACTGCGTGGAGTGACGGGGTAATCAATGTGGCACGCGCACAAACCGTGACGTAGATGCGGGGGAGGCTTTTTTGTGCATAAGCATTGCAAAAACGATCGCCATCAGTTTGAATGGAGAACATGTTAATTGTCCAATGCTTGGAACGTTCAGCTGGAACCTTTCCTATTTTTCTTACGAGCAAGCTGTTTATGAGTGAGGTTGACGAAATTTCTTGTTTTTAGCCGTAAACGCATACGGTCACCTATGCGTATGCGGCTCCGCGTGTGTTTTTGTATTCAGAAAACTCGCCATTTCGTCGACTGCAGCAGAACCACTTCCGACGCGCGATCATAACGACGGACATTTGCAGCCGTCTTATTTGATTACAGAACGTGCTGTCTGCGCCCAGCTCGCTTCATTTACAGGCAAACGAGGCGTCCTGCTCCAATTGTATTAGGGCCGCGTCGACGCGTTTTTCGAGAATCTCTGAAGCACGAAAACAGTTAAACGCTGCTGCATTCGTGTGAACTGTGGTCTGCGGATCCTGGAACTCAGCGAGTCTGCGTCCCCTGAGACAGTTCAGCTCTATGCTGCTGGGCGGGTCAGTGGAGATCTTGGCCTTTGGGTCAGTTTAGATCTGGAAGTACTGGGAACGGCTTACGCCAGATGTCACCG